CGGGCGCCGCAGCCGCAGCCGCAGCGGAGCCGGGCGCTGCGCAGCCTCCCCCGGGACGCGGGCAGCCCTGGGGCCTCCAGCCGAACAGGTCAGACCCGCAGCTGCTCCAGCGCAGGCAGGGGCGTGGGAGCCGGGTTTCCTCCTGGGTCTGCTGGCCTGGGGCCCCAGCCTTGGGTGCACAGGGCTGTTTTGGGGTGCAGACCCAGGCGCCAGGAGGATCACCACGCTCCGCCAGCCTGGGGACGGAGATGGGCACAACCTGGCCAGGAAACTTAACCCCTTTCCCACTTGGCTTCTAGAATGACCAGCTTTGCCACCCTTTGGCAGAGGTGCGGGGACCTGGCTGCCCCCAGGATTTGGGTTTGGCAGACCGTCCCCCGAGAGAAGCAAAGTGCCTCTCCTGTCGCCCGGCGGTGCAAGCCGGAGAGGTGAAAGGGAAGGTTAAAGAGAGGCGGCTGAGTGGCTCCCGTCAAAAAGACTCGCTGAACACAACAAACTCATTCAAGCCCTGCTAATGTCCGCGGGTTTTCAGGTGCATAAAACCCCGGATGCGTTTGAAGGGCCGAAAGGAGACAGCTCTGGGTAAGAACAGGATCTGTAAGAATCAATGACCCAGAAAATTCAGACCGTCCAACTCGTGCTGTTTTGAGTCTTGACTTTTTTTTTTTTTTTTTTTTTTTCTACAGTCTTCCCTTCCCTCCTCTCCTGGTCATACAGCTTCCTGAGCTCATGTTTCACTGCATCCAGCCCTGCTGGCTCTTTTGGTCTAGCAAAGAGAAAATCCAAGCCCCTGCAGTAAAAAAAGGATGAATAGTAACTCAGGGCATAGACATCTGTTCGGTTTGAAGCTTTCCAAGTGCCTTTGAAGTGCTGCAAAAAGCAGTGGTGCAGACACACATGCCTGACGAGGCACTTCAGAGATGCCCGTTCCGCTTCAGAAATGACCCTGGGAAAAAAACAGCAACGCCTTTGAAGTGCTTCACTCCAGAGCGCTTCATGTCACATTGGCACCCTCCAGCAGAGCCCCATAGGGGGTTGCTCGGTCCTCCAGCATCCCACGGTGCTCTGCTCCCCACCCCTCCACACAGCTCGAAGCAGCTGCCTCGGTGACTCGCACTGATCTCCACTGCTCTGAGCTCTCAGAATCAAGCTCGCATGTGGCCGCGGCTATTGATTTTTGGGCACGACGGCAAGCCAAGCCCTCGCTTTGCCTGACCCCTACCCCAAGGGCTCAGCCTCTGTTGTACTGGGATAGCATCGAGGACCCACTCAAAGCGGGTCCCCCGAGGCCAGCACCCATGATGTCACTGCAAATCCCTCCTGCCCCACCTGCAAAGCGCTCTACCAACTGGAGGGAATCGGAGGTGATGGACCTGCTGGACATTTGGGGCGAGGAGGACATTCAACGGGCGCTCCGGACAACCCGTCGCAACCAGGCTGTCTACGAGCGCATTGCCTCTGAAATGACACTGCGGGGGCACAACCGCGACTGGCACCAGTGCCGCGCCAAGGCCAAGGTGCTAAAGGCACACTACAAGAAAGCCCGCGAGGCCAATCGGGCTGGTGGCGGCTGCAAGGTGATGTGTGCCTACTATGAGGAGCTGTCACAGATTCTAGAGGAGGACGACTCCACAGAGGCCCTCTACATCGTCGACATTGGTGGCAACCCTCAAGCCACTGAAATCTCTGATGCCTCTGACCGGGAGGAGAAGGAGGACACTCCAGTTCTAGCCCCCATCATCATCAAGGAGGAGGCACTAGAGATTCAAGAAGAGTCCCCATCCTCCCAGGAGACCTCCGACGAGGTGGACATCAAACCACCAGCCCCGTTCTGGCAGGACATCCTCCTGACCTCACACCAGACCGGACCATCAGCCTTGTGTCCAGCTGCGTCCTCCTCTCAGCCAACTGTGCCTTCCACGTTCCCAACACCTGGGCATCTGCTGACTGTCCTCTCGCAGATGCCGCCAAGCATTGCCCCACAGCTGACGACAGCAGGCCAAGCCTCTCCTTCCCCAGGACCCAGCTGCCTGGGGATGCAGACAGACTGGCTGGGCACACCACCCCCTGGTAAGCTGCGCTCCATCCCCATGACGGTCTGACCCCACGGCATCATAGGGCTCTCCAAAGGGGCACAGGGTCCTGCTGGGTTATCCAGGGAGGACACGGATAACCATGTTCAGGCCATCCCTGGGGAGACTTTGCTTTGCACACAGTGGGCACAGGGGGCATGCTCCGTGATGGGTAAAGATTTCCCACCGGTGGAGATGACCAGGACGCTGACACATCTGCTGATGGTTCCCGGTGCCCTGCCTTGGCTTGTCAGCTTGGTGTTGATGGCAGGGTGACCACAATTCTATCTCCTTGCAACTGGAGAACAGATTGCTGTTAAAAGAGGCAGCAGTGAAGCCAGGGTTGTAGGGCACCACATGGGGATCTCCCCGGAGAGTTTTGGGACCCGCCCTGCCGTGCATCTCTGGCTGCACTGTCAGTTCACGGGGACTTGGCTAAAGGCAGCTTAAGTGCTTCCTCGTTGCCATCCACGAAGGGGTTAAGATGATCCTACCCATCCCTAGGCTGGCAGGCACAGAAGCGGCTGCCGCTCCCTTCCCTCCCCCCCCCCCCCCACGGCCAGCTCAGTCTCCCCTGCCTGGGATGGAACTGCTCATTGAGCTGGGGTAGCTCCCACCCACCCTGCAGAGCTCGGGGCTAAACCACCATGTTCCCTGCCAGCCTGGGGCTGTCAGCTGGAGGAGCCTAGAGCTCCCCCTCAGTGCTGCAGGAGCTCAGAACAGAACTGCGCTGCTCCTGTCAGGCTCAATTTGTTCTCAACAGGGGCACACGTGTAGATGTACGCTGGGGAGTACTTTAATGGTCTTGAATTTTCTGTGAAGAAAATTCAGGCA